CCCATGAGATTCCCCTAAGTAGGTCCCTGAAGAGGCCAAAGTCAGCTCTCCTGAAGTCCAGCGTTGCAATCCTACTCATTGCCCTGCTCCCTCCTCGCAGGATCCTGAACTCCACCATCTCATGGTCACTGCAGCCAAGGCTGCCCCCAACCTTCACCTCTCCAACTAGACCTTCTTTGTTCGTTAGTACAAGTTCTAGCATTGCACCTCTCCTCGTTGGCGTCTCCACCACCTGGGTCAAGAAATTATCATCAATGCTTTGCAGGAACCTCTTTGACTGTTTGTGCCTAGCTGTGCTGTCTCCCCAACAGATGTCAGGGTGGTTGAAGTCTCCCATGAGAACCAGGGCCTGTGATCGTGAGGCTTCTTCCAGCTGTCTGTAGAAGGCCTCATCTATGGCTTCCTCCTGATCAGGTGGCCTGTAGTAGACCCCCACAACAGTGTCAAAAGCACCACTGACATTCAGCTACTTTGCAGTGCAGCTTTACAGTAAGACAAACTCAGTGTTGCCTTGAAAAAACTCCCTGTCTGGATGAAAAGTGCTGTGTAAATTTAAACTAGTAAATTCAATACCTCCATGGCAAGGCTGTTGGAACTTGGTTATTTTTACTATTAAATTTTTAGGACAGTCCTTGGCTGAGCTACTTCTCTCTTTGAAACATTCCCTGGGCATTGTTTGGGCATTAGCGTTGACCAAGGACCATTCCCAATAAGCAGTTTGGTTCCACCCTGTTGGATGCTCAGAGGGCTTAGTAGCATGGATATGACCAAACTATGCCTGTTGCTGTGAGGGTCAAAGATTGCACCTTGACATTATTTCGTTTGCAGTACAGGTGCAGCCATATGTTCACACAGAATAATCGGGTCTTGTTGTTTAAGAGTTTGATCTGGGAGACTGTATAAGCCACACAACAACTGATTTCATCTACCTGAGAAGGAGGAAGTCAACCCTTCTGGGACTGAAATAGTAGCAATGCTAGAGGGCCTAGGGCACAGATGCTTTCCTGGCCTCTCTGAAGTCAACAATGCTGTGTCAATCTGCATCAGCTGATGATCTGTTTCACGGTGTTTCAGAGCTGATACTCCTACCAAAAACAACCTTTGAAGCTGTATGTAGTCTGCTCTACTGCTCTTTTCTGTTTCTCCCACAGGTAATAAATAGTTTAGGGAGCAAATCTTGAATTTCACTGCAGCAAAATCAGTGTACTGTAAACTCTTCAATGTATGTGAGTGCATATATATTTATGTGTGTGTGTGCATTTCTTTCTTTTTCTCTCTCTATCTCTTCCCCATTTACAGTTTGATCACTCATGGTTTTGGAACTCCTGCAATATGTGCTGCCCTAAGCACTTTCCAAACTGTTCTCAGTGAAATGCTGAACTACTTGGAAAAGCACACATCGCACAAAAACGGAGGAGCGGCGGAATCTGGCCAAGGACACGCCAACTCGGAGAAAGCCCCCCTGCGGAAAACTTCAGAGGCTGCTGTGAAAGAGGGCAAAACAGAAAAGACAGACTAGCTACATCAAACAGAATCTATTTCAAGAGAGTCTTGCTGCTGATATTTTTTTTAAATATATATATCATTGAGGGTGATTTATCTCCAGGGGACTAAATCCAAAAAAGGGGGGAAAAAAAAGAAAAAAAAGAGAAAAAAGAAAAAAAAAGAAGATAAAAAGAGAAAGATGAAAAGAGAGAGAAAGAGAGAGCGTGAGAGAGGAAAGTATTCAACCCTAAGAACAGCAGTGTATAGTAAATGTGTGATGAAGTTGTCACTTTTTAAAATTTCTGTTGCTCTAAACTACTTTTTCGTGCACGTAGTATTTAATTGTTCTGAATGATACACTAACACTGTTTTTTATAAGCACTTCTGGACTTGGCTGAGGTGGCAGATGAGATTTGTCACAGGCTAACTTGAGGCACTTTCTTCTCCGGCAGCATAGTTAGGGCCTGAACATCCATTGTGGGGGACACAGCTCCAGCATAATGGCTTTGCTCACATGCTGGCTAGATTGAAAGAAGGGCTTCCTCTGATCCATCAGAAATGCCTGATCCACTCACCACTGGGAAACATCATGGAAACCTGGCAAGAGAGGAATCCTTGGGTCGTGGGACAAATGAACTATTCAGTGTGGGGGCTGCGTATCCCCACATGGGAATGTACAATAAAGCTGCACTGGAACGAGGCCAGAACCTGCTAGGAAACTGTCCTGATCGATGAAGAAGCAGCCATGATGTCTCTTGCAAGAGGAGCCTCATAGACTAAAGTGAAAAAACATTGATAGTTTCAGTAAGAGCCCTGATCCCTGTGTGAACTTCAGATTAAATGACAGCATGGGCTTCTGTCCTCTATCTTCTCGATCCCTGATCCCACAACACTACAGTCTGCCACATCTGGGTCTCTGTTCAATCGGATCAATGCAAGCAATTGGAGTTACCTTTTGTGTTGCCTTGATTTTATGATACTTTTTTTCTTCAGTAACTTGTTTCTGCAACTTTATTGTCTTCAGAAATCCAGCCAAGGTGCAGAGGTTCAACAGAACGCACTCACTTACAGAAAAAAGTAAAATAAAATAAACCAAAATGACAACCAAGACAGATTGGCTTGGTCCACAGCAGCTAAAGGGTTAATAACCTAGCTCCTGTACTTCTGAAATATTACTTTACTATTTACCACACATCCTCATAAGGAGAATATTTGAGGCATACTTTGAGCTCAAGCCTTCTAGAGCCCAGAGGCTTTTTCCAGCCACATTCTAGCTTACCCTTCAACAGGGCTTTTATTCCATTCCTTTTCTTGTTTGTCTGATAACACTTTATTGAGAAAGTTAGGAATGTTTGATATTATAAAGTGGGTTTATGCTGGCCACCTAATCTCCCTCTAAAATCAGCAGAGGCACAACCGTTCTTCCAAAGGACAGCGCATCTCATGCTACAGTAAGATAACATGTAGTTGTCCCCATGTAAGTGTTTAGCACCATTTGAGATATTTTAGGATATCTAAGACAGCCACAGGGTTTTGGCAGGTATGACATGAAGCCTACAGGAGATAAGGACACTCCTGGAGCAGGAACTGGAGTATCCCAGGAGTTAGCACTAGACAGATACCTAAGGGTAGCCAACTGAGCGTTGCACCAGGTGTCTAAGACAGGTGGGAGGAATCATATGAAAGTGCCTGTCTCTCCACAGGAAATAGCTGGAATTTAATGGTGGCATTTTCTGTTGCACATAACTACAGCTGAACTAGTCATCCTCCTCTCCCTATAATTAGTGGAGAGGAAAAGGCACTTATAGGGTGCCGATGAATCTCATCACAAAGTAAAGATGAATCATGCCCTGGAAGTATGTATTTTTCTCAAGCAGATATAACGGAAGGTGAGGATAAAAGTATTCATACACAAATGACTACATTGCATATTTCTAGAGCTAGTTAAGATGGGTTACATCTTGGATGATCAGCTTTAAATTTACAAACCTGGGGGATGTAAAGACTATTCAAGGGCACTTGCAGCTATGATGTACGGAACTGAATTAACAAGGTCAGCCATACCTTCCAAAGGTGTGGAAGGAAATAGAGCAATTATGGCATAATGCTGTTCCTCTTGACATGAGCAGGGAGCCATCAATTTGGAAATATATTAGGAGTTAAAAGAGTCCCTATCTGATCGTGTAAGGAAATCTGCAAAATAAATGGAACTCTCTAGTTTAGCCCAGATTTGTCCTGCTTATTGTAGGTATATAATTGAGACACTTACTTTAGTGCAACTGATCTAGGCTATCTCTGTATGCAATGAGGGAAGTAAATGTATCTCCATGGGACTCCACCTTCCTCACTCACTGAGATCAGCTAAGTGCCTAACAGAATTTAACCTTTACTGAATGAATTTTTCACTTCAGCACCTGTGGAAAAGTGCTAAAATCAAATGATATCGTCAACAGAAGCATTCTGGAGTTGCTATAGAACGTGAGATATGTGCGTGTGAAAGTAGGTAATCACTGCTTGAAAGTGAAAAGGAAACTCGTACTTCTGTTTCTAGTGCCACAGACTGAGGAGGAGAAAAGGAGAGGGGAAATATTTAAAATGTTTGACTGTTTCAGGTACATAGATATGCCATATAAAAATGTATTTAAAGCAATTTGATTGTGATCCTCTACTTTAAAACATGAAGAAATTTAAATCAGATTTTGATAGCCGAAAAAAAGAAGAAAAAATTTAAAAATTCATTTTCAATTTTTTTTCACTAAAATATCAAACTCCTGGAGAAAGGGGGAATTGCTCATCGTGTAGATTATTCTGCAGAAGTGTTGAGAAAGCAGAATTATTTTATTATTATGTTCAAATATCTGATCTCAGAAATAATACGTATACTGCATTATTTGAAATATTCGTCTATTCAGGATACATTCCAAAGTCCTCGTGACGATGTGTTTAAAGACTTACATCTTCTGTTGTTGCACAATCACTGTTAACCTCTGCTCTTCAAGTAACAAATTATTTTTAACATGGATTACCCTTTGATCTATTAATAGTAATGAAGCTGAGCGCTGCTGAAGCCCCAGAACGTCCAATTTTTGCCCTATTGACCTCTACAGATTTTTAGGAAGATTTCAGGATAGACCTGATTCAGGCTGATTTAACTCCCCGAGATTCTTATCATTAAGAAGCTATCTGCATTTGCATCCTGGTCTTTCCCTTGTTTTTCCTTTAATATCTTAGCACCTTTTGAAAGCAAAATCCTTTTAAAAAGGTAGCTGCAAGGTTTGCTGACATTCACATGCTCTCTGTTATTTATTTTTAATAGAAGATATGTAATTAATTTTATTGAGACAAAAAATAATTATTATAGCCTCTTCTGTTGAACTACCTGTCAAAGCACCCTGGTGCAAAAATGTCTTTGGTTTTTGAAACTGGAACTTTCAGTGGACTTTTAAGCAATGAATTCACTGATGTTCCTCTGAAAATTTCAGCCTAGGTTCTTATCCACTTTCCACATATACAAACACAACATACCCAATTTTTTTTTTCTATTTTTAGTCTTTGTCCCTGTGGAAACATTTCTGTCTCAGAACACATTCATGAATTAGATCAGTCTGAAGGAAGGAAACTTCATGATTTGAAGTTCCTGGTTGGCAAATTCAAAAATATATGTGGCTTTTTGACTTTGAAATAAATCTGGTCTGAAAAAAGGTCTCCCTTTGAGATATCATGAAACTGTTTATTCCATTCAGGTCAAAAAATCTAGGGAGTGCAGAAAAGTGTCCAAACCTCCATCCTCAAAGCAGTGAATCATTAGGGGTTTTTAAACTTCAAAACTAGATACATAGGTCAAGTGCTGACTGAGTATTTAGATCCTGTTGTACTTCAGCCTATTGCCCAACTTGGTATGCTTAACCGTATTGCAGCTTTCCCACCGCGGATCTCAAAACACAATTAGTAGGTCCCAGCACCTCCCTTATATGCTATATTTTGGTGCTATTTATTAGGATCAAAAGCCCTAATGCATTTGACTCACAAAGACCAACTATTGCTACTTTAACTTATTAGTAACCTACTCATCAAGTAAACTCACTGATTAACCACATGCGTAGAGCAAGGTGTTATTCACAGTGAATAAAGTGAGCGTAAATAGCACCTATACTGACTAAGTTTTGAAGGTGAGCTTCTGGTAAAGCAAGGGGTGACATTCTCACTTCCAGCCTCAGTCCTAAGTTTTGGACCTCTGCTCACACTAACTTTCATTAGTACCATTTAACAGTAGAGAAATGTAGCAAAGGGAGAGTTTTGTGTAGATGGCAAGAGAACTGGAAAGCTATTCATACAGCTGGTAAAGGGGAGTGAACCACAGACAAGCAGTGATGATCCTGCTACCTACAGCTGAAGACTGTCAAGAGTTTTGTCCTTCTTGCTGCAATACAGAGCAATTTGCTGCCATCTGAAACCCTAATTCCTTCCAGGTGTCAATCTGTTGCCTTGGAGAACTTGCACAAGGGATGAATTTGGACTTCTTTCCTCTTTTTAAAGATAAACTCCAACATCCATTGGGAAAAGACTTCAGTTCTCCAAACCAACAAGGAACCCGTTCTTTGAAGCTTCTCTTTAACTTTTGCTAAAAGTAAAAGAAAATCTGCTACAAAGCAAGCACAATGTATAGTCCTTCCAAATCCTGGACCTCTGTGTAAATACTTCGCCAGCTCATCTCTTCCTTTGAACATGACTCACTGGCACAGCTGTGGCTCACCGTTTTGCAGCAAAGCTCAAAAGGGGCTGCTTTAGTGTCGTAAGAGCCACCTTCTCTAACTGCTTTTCTTTTTCCTCACACCAATAAACATTTTTTGGTCTTAGATATCTTGGGTATCCAAAAGGGCTGCTGATGAATTTGAAGGTCATCTGACTTTCTTTTACCCTTTGGAGAGATAGCTCTGCTGCTCTAATTATATATTTTTAAGGGCAAGAAAAAAACAGCATTAATAGAAAACACAAGCCTGCAACACAAGGAAAATCAATGAACACAATTATACAGGAACTGTAATTATAAAAATATCCTCTGCCTCTGACCTCATTACAAGACTTCAGCTATAGCTGTGTGGGGAATGGGAAAGAGAGGAATATAATGTTATTTTCCTTTGCCAGATGAAGGTCATTTGGATAGGTCTGATATTTTTTATTGTTATTCTTTTCTTTTATTTATTTTGTACAATTAATTTTGTTCTGTACAGCAGCTGTTGTGATTGTATTTAAATGTGAGTGCGCACTTGGTCACCAACAAATGACGTCCTATTTAATGGTTTGGAGTTCTGTTTTTTTTTTTTTTTCATTCCACTTATTTTAACTTAATTTATAATTCAGTGGTGAAGAACATAATCTTTTATATTTCTATTTCCTATACAAGCTACCTGTTTTACATGAGTCTATGAAGAAAATGACCACATTTGATTGAACATTTCACGGCAATAAAATCTATGTTGATTTAACCCCTGGTTTGCCTGGTGCATGAAAATAATTTACATCTCTGGGTAAATAAGGACAGCTAAATCTGGCCAGGAATTCATCTTATACAGAGATTAAAGGTGGGGTTTATCCCACCTATCTGTATCTAGCTTAAATAGATATCTTTTCTAAAATCTGGTGAAGGAATTTCTTTCTTGGTGTATTAAGAGAGAGATATACCTGCAAGGCAATGTCCTAAAACAGGACCCCAAGTGAGATGGTATGACTTACTTAAGATTAATCTCTCTCAATTGACCACAGCAGAAAAGTAAAAAGAGCCCAAGTTGCTCTCCATCGACACTGAATGGAGTCTAGAAAACTAGCTTACCTTGGATACTTAACTTTTAGATACCCGGAGTAAATTGTGATGAAAGACGTCAGAAGCACCTTGCCTACGATTGCGAAAGAAGACTATGACAATACTGGCAATCAAATCCACGTCTCCACAGTTTCAAACGAATCTTTTGACCCTCACCACATAAGCTTACAGCAGTTCCAGATCCTTCCAGATCCTACTTCAGCTCAGGGTTTGGGTTGACTACCAGTGCTCCCCCTTTGGATTCAGGATCCAGTGTACTGACTCGAGGTTTGACTTTCCGCAGGCAGAAACAATGGGAGTCAAGAAAACTGCTTCTAGTTGTAAATCACCACCTCTTGCAGCTTTGGTCTGATGTAAATCCACTCTCTACGTTTAGCAAAACTTTCCAAAACACATGAATCTAAAATATTGTACTGAAAATTTTTCAAAAAGGTTTTTTTTAAAAGACATTTCCTAGAAATCCTGTTTCGAAAGTGCTTGGGAACCTAATGGCAACCCTTCTTCCTGTGTTGTTTTGGTGCTTGCAGAAGTGACTTTATGAGTAATTAAAAACGGTGAGATACGAAGGGCAAAGCTGCAATGGCAGAAACTTCAGGAGGATTTCAGCTGAAAAAGGAAGTAGTTTGGAAGGCAGTTCTTTTATTTTTGAACCTGGTTTATCCAACCTCCACCCCAGTTCCCTAACAAATGAAGTCTCAGTAATTAATATTATCCCTCTAATCTTCTGGGAAATGCAATTTCCCTGCTGCCACAGTGAATTCCTCTGATCAGTCCTGTATGTGCTCTTGTCCAAAGTCAGAGGAAATACAGCCATAGAAAAAAAGTCATCAGTATTTTAGATGCAATTACATGAGAGGTTGGCTCTGACATCTCTCTTTACTTTGGTGTGTAAATTTTCGTACTCACTCCGTCAAAACAAAAAGAAGACAAACCCACTGAGATTTACAGAAGTGCACTGCCAAAACACATGTCAATATGCACAAGTAGTCTCTAATTTGTAGAGACTACAAACAACAGGCAACATGCAACATACAATACAATAAGATGAAAAGCAAAAAGTAATAGAAACAAAATCACCTCTATCAGGTTTTATATAAAAACTGCATATAGAAAGTTTATGCAAATTTGTATTCTAAGTGAGAGAGATAAGCAAAACACGAGACCAAATCTGTAAAATGCTGAGTATCTTGAACTCCCAGAACTAGCAGAATTGACCAAGTATGGTAATATTTGCCCTTGTGTTCAATGACAAAACTCTCATTTATGCCAAAAAGGCTGTTTTTTTCACTTATATTTTGCTGAAAAATGCAGTTTAGTGTCTAGGTAGGCACCAGAAGGCAAATCTAACAAAATGTGGAGCCTTTTAACTGCTATTTAGACTCACCTTCCTGTAGAAATGACATAATTAAGAAACCAGTGGGAACTTGAAGCCTTAATGGAAATTATTGCTCTGGATAAAGCCTTATTTATTTATTTATTTTAATATAAATGTATCTGAGTTAGTGATATATCAATGCAAATTCTGAAGCAACTCAAAAAAACCCCTACTTTTGGAGAAAGCATTACTAGGATTATATTGCACATGGGTTAGAGTTCTGATTATTTAGGATCTATCACACTAGGCAGACCTATACACAGAAAATCAAGTTTATTGTCATTTTATACCAACAGACACCATGGGGGCATGACTCTGTTACCCACTTATGAGCATCTCATGACATTTTAGACAGCCTTGGATATCCTGCCTGGCTTTCCACTGCTTCTCCAGAAGGGCGTAGGCCTCTCACAGCTCCTGCACTGCATTCCTCAATCTGCTATATACCCAAGGACACCTGAAATAGTGCTAGACATCCATCTTTCAGCAAACATTGATTCCTACACATACAGGACTAGCTCTGTTCGGTTGCCCACACATAGGTATCTGGTGCCATTTCAGCAGCCCAGGAGTACTCTGCCTGGAGTCCATCTGCCACTCCAGGGAAGCATAGGCTTCCTACGGGTCTTGGGCCACAGCTGCCAGATCCGCATGGATGTCTCAGGTATTCCAGAGTATCTTCACTGGCATCAAGTGCTTGTACTTACATGACTGAAACATGTCTTCTACATGTCTTAAAGCTAGATGTAATGTTTAGGCTAGATATATCAGCTCGGGAAGTCAAAGGAGAGATATGATCTCCTTTCTCAGAAACGAAAAGGACAGCATTATTGGGAAGCTCTCATAGTTTTTCTGGGAAATGTACACAATGGGGTGCCTCTCTGAAGTGCTTGTACCTACTAACATGTGCAGCATGGGGAATACACAGGAAGAACTGGAGGTCTGCCTGCAGTTGCAGGGCTATGATTTCATTGGGGTCACAGAGGCATGATGAGATATCTCACACAATTAGATCACTGTGGTGGCTGGATGCAAGCTCTTTATGAAGAACAAGTCAGGAAGGTGAGGAGGAGGAGCTGCCCTTTATGTGAGAGAGCAGAAGTAATGCATGGAGCTCTGCCTAGGAGTGGACAATGGGCCTGCTGAGAGCTTATGGGTCAGGATTAAAGGGCAGGCCAAAGTAAGCGATGTTGTGGCAGGTGTCTGCCTGATCAAGAAGAGGTAGATGACAGATGACTTATTCAGACAATTCGAAGAAGCTTCAGATTTGCAGGCCCTGGTCCTCATGGAAGACTTTAATCATCCCGATATCTGCTAGAAGCTCAACATAGTAGGGCACTAACAGGCCAGAAGGTTTCTAGAGTGCATTAGTGACAACTTCTTAACACAAGTGATTGATCATCTGATGAGAGGGCTCTCTCTGCTGGATCTAGTACTTACAAACAAGGAATAACTGACTGGGGATAGGAATGGATGGGATGACCATGAGAAGGTGGAATTCAGGATCCTGAAAGGAGTAAATAAGGCAAAAGCAGGATCACAGTTTGAAATTCAGGAGAGCAGACTCTTCAGAGACTTGCTTGGAAGGATTCCATGAATGATGGTCTTAGAGAGAAGAGGGGTCCAGGAGAGCTAGTTGATTTTCAAGGATCACTTCCTCCAAGCTCAAGAATGGTCTGTCCCAATAGGTAGGAAGTCAAGGAAATGTGGCAGGAGTCTTTCATGAATGAACAAGGAAATTCTGATAAAATTCAGACATAAAAAGGAAGCATACAAGATGTAGAAGTAGGGATGGGTAACACAGGAGGAATATAGAGACACTGTCTGAGCATGCAGGAACAGAGACAGAAAAGCCAAAGCCCACCTGGTGTTCAGTCTGGCAAGTGATGTAAAAACCAACAAGAAAGACTTGTATAGGTATGTCTGCAGCAAAGGGAGGGCTAGGAAAAATGTGGGCCAGTGCTGAATGAGGCATGGGACTTGGTGACAGAGGACACAGAAAAGGCCAAGGAACTCAGTGAAGTCTTTGCCTTGATCTTTACTGGTATGATTTGTCTTCAGGAATCTTAGGTCTCAGACACCAGAAGGAAAGTACAGAGAAAAGAAGACTTACTCTCAGGGGAGAAAGATCAAGTTAGGAACATTTAAACAAATTGGACACACACAAGTCGATGAAACCTAATGGGATGCACCCATGAGCGCTGAAAGAGTTGGCTGACGTCACTGTTAGGCCATATTCAATTATTTTTGAAAGGTCATGGTGATCACAGGAGGTTCCTGAGAACTGGAGGAAAGCAAATGCCACTCCTATCTTCAAAAAGGACACGAAGAGCATCTGGGGAACTACAGGCCAGTCAGCCTCATCTAAATCTCCGGAAAGATGATAGAGCAAAACCTTCTGGAAATCATTTTGCAAAAACATGAAGGACAAGAAGGTGATTGGGAATATTCAGCATGGATTTATGAAGAGGTAATCATGCTTAATCAACCTGACAGCCTCCTGTTTTGAGATGGCTGGCTCAGTGGATGAAAAAAAGTGGTGGATGTTATGTATATTGACATTAATAAAGGCTTTTGATAGTCTCTCCCATAACATCCTTATAGACATAATGAGGTACAGGCTAGATAAATGGACACTGAGATGCATTAAAAACTGACTGAACTCCAGAACTCAAAGAACTGTGATTCCCAGTACAAGAAAGACCTAAACATACTGGAGCAAGTCCATGAAAGTGCTATGAAGATGATTAAGGAGCATCTGTCATACGGAGAGGCTGAGAGAGCTGGGATTATTTAGCCTGGAGAAGAGAAGACTCAGGGGGATGTTATTCATGTGTATAAACGCCTGTTGAGGGGATGGTAAAGAAGATGGAGCCAGACTTTTCTCAGCAGTGCCCGTTGAAAGGACAAGAGGCTATGGGCAGAAACTGAAACACAGGAAGTTTCATAAGAAAAAGTTTTTTCACTACCAGGGTGGTCAAACACTGGAATAGGTTTCCCAGAGAGAGCACAGAGTCTTCATTCTCAGAACTACTGAAAACCCAACTGGACATGTCCCTGAGCAACCTGCTCTAGGTGACTCTGCACTGAACAGGCAGGGGGAAGGGACTAGATGACCTCCTGAAGTTCCTTCCAAGCTTAGTGATTTGGGGATTCTGTGAACGTTTTGGCCTCAATTCTGTTACCCACATACAGAGTATAGCAGCTTTTGAGATAACTATCCTGCCTAGCCTCTGCTTGCTTTTGCAAACAGGACTTATATCACATTTTCCAGACCTGCTCAGATGCCT